TTTTTACTGTCACATATAACTTGAAACTAAAGAAGGCTGTTCTATTTCTTCATGGTCACTAACTTTACCACCTGTTTTTATGGATTAATACAAAAAGAAATAGTTAATGGTATTCATTACCTTGTAAAGTGTAGACCATGATAGATGATTCCTTTAAAGGCATTCTAAAGTGTTACATATATTGCTTTTTTATAGAATTATATAAATATAAACGAATTATTGGTTGTTGGTATTGGTTCTTTGGGTGATTTTAAACCATGCTGAAGAATTATTAGAATATTTAGAGACGAGATGTTTATATCCTTAAGGATTATGATTACATCATACGTCCAAATTTTTTTTCAATATAAAATGAATTTTAAATAAATAATAGTTAAAAAAATAACAAATCAACTTCAGCTTTAACAACAATCTTACTGAAAAAAAAATAATTTCAAAATGTATATGTTTCAATTGTAATATTGTAAATTTAATTAGGAATTTGTTCAGGATTAATAGCTTATGATTAAACAGTGCTAATTCTTATGTAATCAAGATAATCTTTAGGTATAATAGTTTAATGATTCTAGGCAGTACTTTATAATGGTGATACTGCGGCCAAGGTAAACCGCTTTAATCTACTAAAAATTATAAACTTCTTCAGAACGAAAACAATCCTACAGCATCAGTTACCTTCAAAAACGTTTAGTTTGCAATTTCATGCTTGATTTTAAGTGTTTTTCGAGATAAACAAATCAAAACCAGATCCAATATATTTCAGACGCAGAAATTTAAAAGGTGAAATTAAAAATAACCGAGAATTTGGGTCATGTTTACCTTTAAAAACAAGAATGCAAATTACTATACAATTTTCTTTTTATTTCACATCATCGTCCATCCAGATATAGTGCCCCGCACTCGTTAAATAATAAATTAATTTTTTGGTTAATTTGATATCCCTTATTCAACCCCTTTTCTTTATGTTTCTACCCTTTTCAAAAATAATCAATACAGTAGGAATTTTTGTCACACATCTAACCGTTCTTACATTTCTAAATCAACTCTAAAAAATAGCAATCATTAAAACCTGATAATTTAAATCAGTAACTTGTGTTGCTTCTTTATTTGACTCGGACGTTTGTGGAAAGTTTTTGTATTTTTGATAATATATTAATTTTCTTACGTGGCAGCAATTAATTTTGAAAAAAACACATTATCTGGTATATTTTATGCGGCGAACAAATGCGGTAGATTTATTCATGACAAGCATCCACGCGAATCACACGATCTATATGTCACTTTGATCCGCCACGTGGCTATTTTCGCGGCCATTTTGCATAAATCGTGGCCTTTTAGATATTTCAAGAGCCACGAGCAACGCCAACTATCCACAATTTTAAATATGCACAGCTTGAATATATCGCAATGTAGGAAGAATAATAAATTACTTGTAAATTTTAAAATTTTAATGCGAAACAGAAAACACTGAATTTGTTACATTAAAAGAGTTATTGGTCTCTGTCAATATTGTTTCGACCCTCTTGGGTCATTCTCAAGAAAGGAATTCTGTTACTCACTAAAGTTTTTCCAATGAGTTTCTTAGTACTTTTTCCAGCAGCCCAAATTATTTTAATTATGCGGAATACAAAGATAAATAGAATATTTTCTATTTATAGACAGTATGGATAAGTTAACTTTTTGTGATTATGAACGTTAGTCACATCCACAATATTTCAAAATTATATGCACGTATATCACGTGTGAATAATTTCATTCATCATTAAACCGTGTAATACATATCGTTCGTAATTGATAAAGTAAAAAAGCAGCACAATATTCAAAAAGTAGAAAATAGTATCTAATTACGTACACATACAGTAAAGTGAAATTAGCCCCAAAATTATATACTAAAAAGATATAACAATCTATTGAACAATAAATATGCCACTTATTTCATTTGAAAAAAGGTTAATTTTCACTAAAAAGCAAAAAAGTATACAATCACAAATACTCATGAAAAAAAAAAACAATACATAAATTTTATATTTTCACAGAGAATAAACTAATATCAGTATTGATGATAATAAATGATCTAAAGCAGCATATAATATAGGTAATGCAATTGCCTAAACGCATTGTTAAATACAATCCGTCGCATAAAATCTTATTTTTGGATGTTTAGTATCTTCGGAATGCGGTCTGCACTCAAGGCTTTCTTTTGAAATATTTTAGTCTACCGTAGGCAAAATTCACAAAATTGTACGTACATACGCAAGCTATTTAATCGATGATATAAAGCACTATTTCGAATACCAATGAATCTTTTTGTAGACAAGTAATTTATTACTTTTTTTTTGTTACTTAATGACCAAAACGTGTGCCGTAAGAATACCCGTAATAATAAAACTTGTCGTAAAATAACAATTGGTTAAATTTCGACTGCGGCCGGTACTATTCTCTTTAATCAAATTTTCAACAATTACTTTTGCAGATTTCTCAATTTGCTTACGAAACTTAATATGTATCGATCCTATCGTTAAAATATTCTTTAAAAATGAGTAACCAGATATATCATACCTTATCTATTTTTACTAGCGTGTTATTAATGACCTCCTATTTTTACTGTCACATATAACTTGAAACTAAAGAAGGCTGTTCTATTTCTTCATGGTCACTAACTTTACCACCTGTTTTTATGGATTAATACAAAAAGAAATAGTTAATGGTATTCATTACCTTGTAAAGTGTAGACCATGATAGATGATTCCTTTAAAGGCATTCTAAAGTGTTACATATATTGCTTTTTTATAGAATTATATAAATATAAACGAATTATTGGTTGTTGGTATTGGTTCTTTGGGTGATTTTAAACCATGCTGAAGAATTATTAGAATATTTAGAGACGAGATGTTTATATCCTTAAGGATTATGATTACATCATACGTCCAAATTTTTTTTCAATATAAAATGAATTTTAAATAAATAATAGTTAAAAAAATAACAAATCAACTTAAGCTTTAACAACAATCTTACTGAAAAAAAAAAATTATTTCAAAATGTATATGTTTCAATTGTAATATTGTAAATTTAATTAGGAATTTGTTCAGGATTAATAGCTTACGATTAAACAGTGCTAATTCTTATGTAATCAAAATAATCTTGAGGTATAATAGTTTAATGATTCTAGGCAGTACTTTATAATGGTGATACTGCGGCCAAGGTAAACCGCTTTAATCTACTAAAAATTATAAACTTCTTCAGAACGAAAACAATCCTACAGCATCAGTTACCTTCAAAAACGTTTAGTTTGCAATTTCATGCTTGATTTTAAGTGTTTTTCGAGATAAACAAATCAAAACCAGATCCAATATATTTCAGACGCAGAAATTTAAAAGGTGAAATTAAAAATAACCGAGAATTTGGGTCATGTTTACCTTTAAAAACAAGAATGCAAATTACTATACAATTTTCTTTTTATTTCACATCATCGTCCATCCAGATATAGTGCCCCGCACTCGTTAAATAATAAATTAATTTTTTGGTTAATTTGATATCCCTTATTCAACCCCTTTTCTTTATGTTTCTACCCTTTTCAAAAATAATCAATACAGTAGGAATTTTTGTCACACATCTAACCGTTCTTACATTTCTAAATCAACTCTAAAAAATAGCAATCATTAAAACCTGATAATTTAAATCAGTAACTTGTGTTGCTTCTTTATTTGACTCGGACGTTTGTGGAAAGTTTTTGTATTTTTGATAATATATTAATTTTCTTACGTGGCAGCAATTAATTTTGAAAAACAGTTGTAATATTAAAAACAGCTACAATCCGATTTTTTTAAAGTCCTTAACGAATAATTCGCCTGTGGTACATACATACATAAATATACGTATACAAATGCCTATGTCATTTTTAAAGGTACATTCTCTACATGCCTTTTATTGTATTATGAATATAAACATATATGCAAAACATTTAGACTAATAGAAATTCACTTCTCATCCTGGATGGTGGTATAAATGACAGTCCACAATTTACATGCACGATCGGTACATCCTTGAACTTGAAAATGTATAAATACAAGGTCACATACACTGGACAATGTTATTGTACATTATAAAAAGATATTAAATGTATCTACAATATGTGTAATTTAAGTCAACTCTTACAATTAATTTTATTACGAGTAAACTGGCGATGGTCAGCAGAAGGGGGGGGGGGATGCCACCCCTGACCTATGCACAAAGCACTTTTTTTCAGCAATTTCAAAATTTTGAAATCGTTATAAGTCATTGTTAGGTACCTTTTTAGAAAAATCGTTATTTAATTATTCCTTAAGTGATTACATCGATCGATCATATGCTGCATTATATCGTCTCGCCTCGAAATTACTGATAAAAATAGCTCCACAAAGTTTGATTGAATGATTCGGAAATCCAGCACCAAGCCTATCACTCGAAATCGAATGATGGATCTAATCTATGCCGTAAAATAGGAATTCAAATGTAAACTTTGCGAGAAGTAAAATTTTAAGAATTCTTTATATTTAACCGTAATGAAAATGGCATATTTTTCTTGGTCTAGAAACAAACAGTCCAAATTTTCGAAACTTCGTGGCCTGCAGCGTCATTTCCTACCAGCTTGTTTTACATCCTACAACCACAGCTGGGGCGAATAACGCCGAAAGGAAGACAGAAATTGAGCCATACATACAAGGACTTATCCTCTAGGTTGTTTAAATTTTGGGAGAAAGTTAAAGCTCAACTATATTATATTAAACTTCCTAGAATCTAAAGAAAAATCGGCTTTTGAATTACAGTATTGATTTAAATAGCCATTCAATCGCTGTATAATATTCTCCTTTAATGGTAGTAAAAATAAAGTATTTCGATTACCTTATAACGTTTATTGCCATAATCATATTCATTTTTATACTATCAAAAACAATTACCCATGTTTCTTCCAGTTTTAATAAATAGTAATTTGTTAAAACACGAAAGCTTAATAAAATACTTACTTATTTGATTAGTCAGAGTGTTTTTCAAAGAATTCGTGTTTCTTTCCTGAAACAAACAGAAAAATTATGTAGTTTTGACATTCCTTCTAATCAGTGAAGTTTTTTTAACAGTTCAACTTTTTCTAAATGAGATGATCACACACAAATTATGTATTAGTAGTGATAATGCTTCAAATTAACTCACTGCTCCTATTTCTAGTCTTCTTGGATGTAACATATTATCCCGTATTTTCTATACTATATTACAAGTGATATATATCATATTACAAGTGGTACAGATTATATAGATTTCATAAACGCAATCTCTCAATAATTTTACAGTAATTGTTATCCTATCCATAATATAGAGACAAGAACTAGCTACAAACTTTTTGTACATTCCCAGTTTTATAAATAGGTAGGTGTAAATTCCACAAAAAAAAACCGATGAATACAAATTAGCCACCTAGAAAAATTACCATAAGTCAGATGGATTTTTCCACTCCTTGAACGGAGTGTAAATAAAAATGTTGCCAAAGAAAGATGATTTCTGTATTGTCCAAACAAAAAACGAACTATTAAACAATAATTACAAAACCTTGACCATCAACAAGAAAGAAATACCAGTAACAATATTCGTCTAAATAAATAACACGTATGTAATAATTGCTTGTTTTTTGACTTAATCTATTAGGGTTTAAATTCTTTAGATTTTCAATTCCATCTACACGAAATAACAATATCTGTATACGTATATAGACAATATACTGACTTTTATTTTACAATAACTAATTTAAACAATAACAGAAACATGTTTTTTAAGCAATACCAGAAGTCAAATAATATTTAAGAAATTGTCTTGGTTTACGTAAATGTCAATAATACCTAGAAAGTATCAGAATATGATACATATTACTGAATGGTTTACACTAGATATAAGTAAGTACTGTACATTAATGTTGAATATTGGGTTTTGAAGATTTAGAAACCAAGTATTACCTACATACGAGGTCTGTCCGAAAAGTATCGCGATTTTCGAATTTCCGCGGGTTACCTATATTTGTTCGATCATGTTGAATGTTCAGGTAATTTTTGACAGCAGTTTCGCTTGCACGTGTTTTGGCTCGTCTTCGATTTTCGTCTATTCCAAAAAATGGACCAAAGAATCTGTATAAAATTTTGTGTGAAAAACAAAATTAAGTGCGCGGACACATTCCTAATGTTGATTGTGGCATATGGTGGAGTTACCTTGGACCAAAGCAACGTTTATCGGTGGTACAAAATGTTCTCAGAAGGTCAAGAAGATGTAAACAACGAAGAGCGTACCGGCCACCCTAATACGTCAACAACAGATGAAAATATTGATGAAGTGAAGAAAATAGTATTGGTAAATCGTCTAATCACCGTTAGAGATGTATTGGAGGAATTATCATATCTATTGGCTCCTGCCATTCAATTTTTACCAATGATTTAGACATGAGACGGGTCGCCGCGAAATTTGTACCAAAATTGCTCAATTTCAACCAAAAACAGTATCGCATTAACATTGCTAAGGAACTGTTGAACTGTTTTCAAGGAATTGCAGGGGCCTGGTGCATCATGAGTTCTTGCCACAGGGTAGAATGGTCATTAAGGAATATTACCTGCAAGGATTTGTGGAAAAACAAAAATTGGCTTTTGCACCATGATAACGCCCCTGGTCACACATCGTTACTTGGCCAAAAACAACACACTAATAATGCCGCACCCACCCACCGTATTCCCCAGATCTGGCCCCCTGTGACTTTTTCTTGTTCCCGAAACTGAAGACATCCATGAAAGGACTACGCTAAGCGTTACGATTGAGGAGATATAGACGGCATGGAAGGAGGAGCTGAACAAGATCACAAAAACCGATTTTTTGAAGTGCTTCGAGAATTGGAAAAAACATTGGCACAAGTGTATAATATCTACTGGGAATTACTTTGACGTGAAAAAAGTAGATATTCATGAATAAATAAATAATTTTTGAAAAAACACAAAATTTGCGATTGAGCAGACCTCATACTGACCCAGGCTGTCGAATTTTCGCTAACAAAAAAGGTATAACATCAAAAATAAAAATAAATAAATAAATATAAATAAAAGATTGGATCTTTCTAAATAAAATCCTGACTACACCCTTCATTTCTTTTACTTTACCGAAATTTTTATGCAAACAATTCGGAGGTCCCTGTTCAAAATTCTCAAGTGCATAAGTATGTATTTTATGTACTACCACGTCTTGTGAATAATTCATTCGAAATCATCTGGTCGTATGGATGAACGACCTTTCATTAAGCCGAACATGGAAAGACAGGACCTCCAAGCATCTCGATTTCGAAATCCCTTTCGGAATATTAACAAGTGCAAAATGTGCATGCAATTTTTTCATGCGCAATCTTCCCACTGCAATTCTAAGACACCGTGGGTTGCGAAAGTTACAAAACGAATCGTTAAATTCATTTTATCATACGTGCTTGAATAATGAACTATCTACCATTCGATAGGTATGCCCAAAATAAAAAATCAATTGCGTATGTTACCGTTATCGCAAGTAAAAAGGTATTGCAACAAGAAATCCTAGCCCAAAATGGGGTTGTAAATATTTTGTTGATATATAAAAGATTGATACTGATTTAATTCGTCCAGCAAGAAAAGACTACGGCTTCAACTCAACCTTTTTATATCATTTATTTATTTACAACCCCATTTTGACCCTGATCATTTACATATTGCAATAATAAAGGGAAAAAATGAATCCAAAGATTCTTTAGCTTTAGGTTCATCTAACAAGTGAAGTATTTGATGTCTTTTGACTAGTAATATAGCAAAATTTAACGGCAAATACACCAGAAAATACTTATGGAAAAGTATATTTTGAATAAAATACAAAATGCTTTTGTCAAAACAGTATTTAAATGCAAAATAGAACATGTAGTAATTAAAACAAGAGTAACAATCGTATCAACAATCCCCAAACAGTTTAACAATTTTAATAGTTTAGTGTAGAAGATTAAGTTATATTTTTATAAATTTTCAGTTCAAAAGCAGAAAAATGTTGTTACCCTCAAATGTTAAAAAGCCGTCAGGAAAAAATGAGTTTGAATACATTATGTTGATAAATACTTGTACACTCCGTCAAATTTTAATTAAAAAACGTAACCATAAAAAAGTGTTACAGGAATTAAAACAAGCATGAACCTTTGAAATGGTGTAACTGTGTAACAAGCGAAAGATTTTTAAACGTAATAAGCAGCTACAACATTAGTTGCAAATATATTTCATACTATAAAAAATTAAACGATATTTATTTGCACAGCAATAAATGTAACAAAAAGCATTCCAAGACAATGTGCACATTTCTTCTGGAAATGTATATAAATAATTATCAACCATTGTATAGGTATAATGTTATACTTCTTATTACGGCGCTCCTTTTTTACCTTGAAATGTCATTATTCTTTCCTTGCTAAAGACTTAATGTATAAAACTGCTTTTACAATTTTGCCACTGCATTATACTTACAAACACTGACGAAATATATTATAGTTGTAGTGCAAGTACCATTCTTACCTAGGAATATCTTTAACAGTAATTTTTGAGAATTTTTGTAAAATGATAATTGAGTACAAATTCATTTTCATTATCCAAGTGAAAAATTTCCATTCTCTCACATTTCTCAAGTCTTTCGTTACTAAACCTCAATACTATTTCAATTATTGGAATAACAAACAACTCTTTTCTATAGAAAACAATTGTTTTAGTCAAATCAAAGAAAAAACTATGCCAAAGTATAACAATAGTTAACGAGTGCATAATTGTTTCTTTCAGAAACGCCTTCTCGATTTTCGCAGTAAAACCGATAGAAAATCAACGTATCGAATCAAGTAGGTATACGTATGCACGTGGAAAACAAAACAAAAACCAAAACACGTACGGAATTCGAGTAAGAGTAGACATCCAGTCGCCTAATTACTGACCTACTCAAGAAGGAAGATGCACTAACATACAACTTGTGCTTCTCTATTAACATTTACAAGCACATACATACACATACACACCTGTTTGATGTTGCTGCTTGATACTGTCGCGTATTTAATATCGAATTATATATCGTAGTAGTAGTCGGATAGAACAGCCGAACAGTTGTACAGTTGTAATCTTGTCACATTCCAATCGCCACTGCTGTCGCGCACAGATTGACTAACCGACTGCAAGAAAATTGCCTTCTGCTCGCTGTTTTCATGCCCGCAAAACTAATCAACACTCAATACAATGTTATTAATATCCTCCCTCCCAATACATTCAGCATGTGCTAGCGGCCAAGAAGGATCTTGTTTGCTGTGACCTGTGGCTGCGATTATCATCAATATCCGCGATTGTACTTACTCCAGCACTCAAAAGGAAGAAAGTAGTTTTCCACTGGGAGAAACACGCACCTCCAAGGATCAAAGATGTGATTTAATTGAAGCAGTTCCGTCTAAAACACAACATGCAAAATGCCTGCTTTAAATGTTTCTTTTTTATATTATTTTCTATTTGGGTTTGGATGACTTTTAGACCTATTTTTCATTTCGAAAATATTAAGTCCAACAAAAAAATTAACTTTTGGGTGTTCCATTACCACCAGCTAGTCACGCTAGTGGGCTGATAGTCCCTCTAGACCAGGGCAGTGTTCGGAACCGTACGATAATTATCGTACACATACGATAATTTCATGTCTACGTACGATGTACGATATCATATTATTATCGTACGCAGATTGTACGATAATTTTCATGCATTCAAAATTTATTTTATTCTTACCCTCTCAGACAATATCACGAAGACTTTTTTTTTTTCGCGAATATTTTTTTT